AGGAACACTGGAATTTTCCATTGAAAAGGGTCAGCGTCTATGCCCTTTATATAGGGCCTGCGCGCTTCCCTGTCGAAGTAGGTCAGCCTTATATATAGGGCCTTCGCGCTTCCCGGGTAGCCCGGCTCACGCCCTTTATATAGGGCCTGCCCGCTTCCAGGGTTAAGATCAGACAGCAAAGATGCATGAACATTTTCTAACCCACCCCCCCACAGCTCAAATTTGCCAATAAGTTAATCTCATGTTTTTGTCCCTCACTTCAAACGTCCCCCCACCACTTGTCTCAAATCAAAACTTCTGTTGTTCTGGTCTCTGAAGTAAACTTGTCTCTCCTCTAGCACCAAACTCCAACACAAACCCAAACCTTTTGGATTTCGCCTCTTTCAGAGCCGCGGCAGCACGGTGCAGGCAGAAGCGCAAACACTGGATCAGTAACCTGGAGAAAAAAGCTGATGAACTTTCATCGACAAACGCGAGACTACAGGTAAGAGTTATTGTGGCTTTTGAGTTTGTTCTCATGATGAAAGGTTTTCTGTGGGTGTATTTGTATGTGTGTGTGTCTGTGTGTTTATATTTCATATACAGTAAAACCTTTATGTAACATACTCCCTTTGGACTCGAGGTTTTGATAGTTTTAGCTAAGGTATGTATTATCCATAATCTGGCATAAAAATATGTAACATAGCCATGGGCAGTCTTTTTCTTAGGGGTTATTGGAGTTCGTCAGGTATATGTCTCATGTGTCATAAATTTACCATTTTTTATTGCATATGTCCAAAAGTTCCCATTGTTTTTTCCCATATGTCCTAAGTGTGTGGTTGGCTGGTGCTTTATTGTGGTTTGCTCCTTTCTTCCTATCAAACATCATTTGTTTGTTTGGTTTGTTACTTTTTTGTATGCAATATCTCTTATCCTCGGCATATATAGGACCTTTTTGTGTTGCAAGTGCCATTAAACTCTTACTAAAACAAATATGTCCTAAAGTTACCATAGACCTCTCGTGGCCTAGAGGTTAAGTTGTTTGCCTCCGCATTTAATGGTCCCGGGTTCGAATCCGGATAGCGACGTAAAATTTTCTTCTCTAAAATGTTCTCCTTTTACATCCTTTCCTGCTCTCTAACAATGTTCTGTCATCTATTTTCGTCTCTACTTTCTGCCCCCACCCCCTCACCTCCGTTGCCCCCTTCTCTGGGCTCCTGACTCTTTCTGCAGCCTTTCTACTACTACTCGCTGGCTTCTTCTTACTCTGCTGTCTTTCAGTCACAACCCTGATCTTATGGCAGGAAAGATCTACACCTAGCTTTCTTGGACAAGGGCAAAACATCTCGGAGGTCCCGTGTGCTAGTTGCGCACGTTAAAGATCCCTTGGTGGTCAGAATAGATAAGAGTAGGCTTCGGCTGCCTACCAGGCAAAATTTTAAATTTCGTACCTACTGAAAATATTTGGTGTGTCCTGTCCGCTCATATGACCTAGTGCAGTTGCGATTGCTGTAAAACACTTGAACACTTACCCCCCCCCCCCTTCCCCCCACCCCCCCAAAAGTTACCATTGTTTTGTCCCAATTGTCCGGAAGTTACCATAGTTCTGTTCCAACTTTTCTAAAATTACCATTGTTTTTGTCCCATATGTCTAAACATTACCATTGTTTTTTGCCCCATGTGTCCCGTCTGGGCAGAACGAAGTGAAGCTTCTCCGTGGGGAGGTGGCCCAGCTGAAGACGTTGCTGTTGGCCCACAAGGACTGTCCTGTGACACAGCAGCAGAAGTCTCAGGGACAGTTACAGCACGGTGAGTGCACGCAGCCCTCCTCCGCAAATGCCGGCCAGTATTTTCTTTGTCTTCCTCTTCTTGTTCTAGTTCTTGTTCTTGTCTTCTTCTTCTTTTTCTCAGTCACATTACGATTGAAAAGCGTGTGTGATTTATGAATGTATTGCTGTGGATTGCTCCTTCTTTCCTTTCAAACTTCATGTATTGTCCTCATCACGTCTGCTTTTTCTCTCTTTGTATTTTTACTTAAATCTTTGGCACTTTTATTACCTATTTATGTTGCAAGTGCAACAAACCTGATACTAAAACTAAAACGAGCCCTCCTCAAACTCTAGCCATTGCTGTTGTTTTTGTTGTTTTGTTTTGTATATTCTTTTTCTTTTCTTTGTTTGGGGGTTGGAGGTTGGAGGGTTTCTGGTTATTATAGTGCCATGTTATTGTTGTCCTGTGAGAAACGTTATTTGTAATTTTTTTTGTGGGTGGTTGGCGGGTGTCTAGTGTAGTTTGCTCCTTCTTTACTACTTATATCTCCTCCTTCTTTGTATGTTTGTTACTCTCTTGTAACGCCTCTAATCTTCGGCAGGTAAACCACCCTATTGTGTTGCAAGTGCCATAAAACTCTTACAAAAACTAAACTAAATTTTATTTTTGTTGTTGCTTTTTTAGGGTATGTTGTTTTAGGTGAGTGTTGGAATGTAGAAAGATTGCGGTTATTTTCCTGAGAGAAATCGTGTGGGTGATTGACAAGTACTCTGGTGTAGTTTGCTCCTTCCTCCCAATCTAATATCTTTCGTCATTATCTCTCTTACAAAACTCTTACGAAATCTAAACACTTGACGAGTGTCTATCATTTTCTTGGCCGTCCTGCTTGGTTCTGGTCTATTCCACAGTAACTGTCAGGACATTTGGACTATACTTTCCAACAATGATAACATTGTAATTGAGAATCAATTAATTTATTTCAACTTTATGTTATTAGAACATTAAAAAGACATATTAAGAATCATATGAAATGCTGCTTTTTTAAAGAAAAAAAAGTGCTTTATACGCATACTATGATGTGTTTGGTTTCGGTAACTGATTCCGTAATGGGGAGATTTTTTATAGAGTGTCTTGGTCTTTCTGCTGTGATGTTGTGTCCCTCTCAGCCTGGATTGGCCCTGACAGGTAGGGTCGAATCTAGCCTCCTAAATGATTTTAATTCTGTTGATAAGAGAATGTAAAATACGTGCATTTTAAAGCTATTAAAAATTTTTTTTTTCCAGTGATTCTGTCAGACCCCAGTCTGGCTTCCCAAGAGCTGGCCCAGGTGGTTCCCACGGCAGACCCGTCCTCTGCTGGCCATGAACAGCTACAGTTGGGTCAAACCATCGTGACCTTTCTACAGGAGCCTGTCCTTGATCCTCGGGCTGACCTCCAGGCGGCCGCCAGCAAGAGGAATTGATGGGTTTTGTCACAGACAGACTAGACTTGTTTTTGTTTTTTTATTCTCTAAATTTTAATTTTTTTTTTTCTTTTGGTTTGTGTGTGTGTGTATATTGTGTGTGTGTGTGTGTGTGTGTGTATGTGTGTGTTTGATGTGCAGCTGATACTTGTTTTGATACATTGGAGGTGGGGGGGGGGTTAACTAAATAGATTTTCCTTTTAAAAAAGGATAGGGGGTTGAAAGTGAAATAGGGTTGGGGAGTCTTTTCAGTTGTACAATCAGCACAGGGAATGCTATTAATGTTTTTGACAGATATTTATGGACATTTGGTTTTGCTTGTCTGGTGTTTCGTGTCCCTCACATAGATAATCTACTGGCGAGGGACCTTCTCCAACACAAGCCATTATTTGTGTCATGACGAGATGGAATCAGGTACTTGTCAGTTTTTGGGCATGTGAAATTAATGGTACCGGTATTTATTTAAAGCTTGTTTGGTCTTGCTTTTGGTGAACCAAATACCGATCTATCTTGAATAGAATTTGAGATATTTGCGATTGAAGGAGGTATAGGTCACCTTGAATGAAAAATACAATTAGTGAGAAAGTGGCCGCCACAGTTTGGTGACGTCTAAAGCCTGAATGCCCATGGAAGCTGCAAATTTACATTTTTTGTGCCTTTGATAATGTTTTTCAATAATTATCCACGCAGAAATGTGTTTCTTAAACGAACGTATAAAATGTTGAGTCAAGAAAAAAATCGATAGATGTCAAAAGGGTGCAAAAATGCTGCTTTCTTTGGTTTCATTATTTGATGAGTGCCTGATTTCACTACACTGCAACACATTTTTTTTTTTTTCATAGTTTTTGGAAGGGGGTGGGGTTGTTTTTGGCAGGGGGGGGGTGGCGGGGGGGGGGCGGAGGATATAACGAGTTGTGGTTTTTATAGGTAATTTTTTTCTAGGCTATGTGTGTACAGACTTTGATTGTAGAGGTTTTATATGCTTTTCTAAAAATCTACTGACAGTTAATGTGATGGATGTTGAGACAGATTTGTTAGCCTTTGCTGTGAATGGGCTATGAGGAAATTGTTGTACTTTGCCTCTTTTGGGTTGGTGAGCAAGAGCCCTGCTTTGGAGTGACAGTTGTTTTAGTCTGAACTGCTCAGGGATGTGTAACAAGAGGTGTGAAATAATTTTTCATTTCAAGGGAAGTTGTTTTGAAAGTTTCTGAAAAAAAAGTTTATTTTGAATTTTTTACATCTTTCCATGTATTGGATTGGGGTCTGGATGCCATTTATTTAGTTTGCATCTTATGGTTGAGCAATTTGTAAACCAGTTTCTGCTGTATAAGTTAATCTCTTCGTTTTTGCATACAAAAAAACGTTGATTTGTTTCAGGTCCGCTGAATTAACTTTATTGAGTAGCTCTGTCTGTCAAAGCAGCCCACCCTCCCCCCTGAAAGACCTAAATTGTGTCAAAAAAGGGTGTATAACTTAAATAAATGAATCATCTGTAAGAGCTGCGGACAGATTTTGTCAGCAGTTGTCTGGAGGTCTTGCTGTGTGCTTCTAAAACAGCGCTTGCTGACCTGGGGGGGGGGGGGTGTCGTCCTTGAATGGACGATTTGGTAAAGTTGATAGATGATGTGGATCACCCGGGTAGTGACAGTTCGCTACCTTAGAATTACGAAGTTTATCTGACATTTTTGGCCGTTTTGAGTTACTATGACCATGAGCTAAGAAACCAAGTTTTCTATTTGCTCTATCAAAACCGTAAGATTATTTAGAGTAGTTATCAACATATTCAAATAATTGCTTTCGAAAATGCTTGACATATTGTGAAACTCAAAATTTTTAGGTCAAATTTCTCAAAACTAGGTGCTGAGCAGATAGAACTTTGTAATTCTAAGGTAGCGAGGTGTTATTTTATTCCCTCTTTGGAAATATATGAAGGTGGGCAGCATGAAAATTTGAGTCTTTTTAAGGGTGTCAGAAGTGGACACTGGCTATTAAAGGGTTGACAAGCACTGTTCTAGAATGATTGAGTTGTCAAGTATGGACGAGCATCTGTGTGTGTCGTCGATAGTTTCCGGGACAAATTCAGCCCACAGGAAGCTTTTCTGTACGGTTTCTGTGATCTCTCGAGTGCTGCTGAAAGGGTAGCAAGATTTGAACCGGTCTTTGGTTTTTATCTCGTGTTTCTGTTGTCTTGTGGTTGTGCACGTTGGGACTTGTGACCTATTAAAATTGTACAGATTTGCTGTAAATACTTGTCCACTCAACCTACCATTTCTGTCATTTTGGTTCATTAATTCACCCTCCCTCCATTGAGCCCAGATGTGTTGAGAGTGATCTGCCTCCAGTAGAACATTGTCACCAAGCCATTCAACTGTTCTAAGCCCAGAGAGCTAGATTTTTCCAGAGGGACAAAAAGGTGTATCTTTCTCTTAAACAATTGAACTTCCATAATGTATCTGGGTTTGTTGGGGTTTTTTTTCTTTTTTGCAGCATGTCGAATTAGTTGAATTTTGACAAAATATATTATTTTTCTAGCACATTTGACCGATATTGCAGATTACGAAACTGCAATTTCAAAACAAATAGTTTAAAATGTTGGGCTGAGTACTTCTGAACAGGTCATTATGAAGGTTTTTGTGACCAAATATGTTGTATTTGGAAAGTGGAAAATATGTTTAAAAAATTATTATTGAATTCCCAGTCTATATATACAGTTGGAAAAAAACCCCAACTGAATGGAAGCAGTACAACACCATTGGTGAAGGCACATTTTCCCCCAAAATAGGTAGAGTGAAAAGGATTAGAGAATTTTGAAGAGGAAAAAGCAGATATTCAAATTTTGGAGATCTGTCACAAAGTCATTCTATGTATTGTGCTGGCGGGTTACTGAAATGGGAAACAGCTGTAGGTTGAGATAGATTACTTTTATTTTATCATGTTCAGTTGACCACTGAATTGAATGTTTTTTTGTAAAAATTATTGTACATATTTTGCTCATTTATGTCTCTTTATATAGATATATACATAAATATATATGTAATGAGTATTTTGTAAATAGGAAACCTGTAAATAGTCTTAAGCAGCACAATGAGATGATAGTTGTGCTTGTGCGCGGGAATGCTTGTGTGAACTGTCACTATATGGCCATTTTTCATTTATTTAATAACCGATTTTTAAAGAATTCATAAAATAAAAAAATGTAGATGCTTTTATGCCCCCCATTCAAAACAATCTAGATCTTTTAGGAGGCAGATATCTGACCCTGCCTGTCGGGGCAAAACTGGGTTGAGAGAGATACAACGTCCCAGCTGAAAGACTGAGATACTCGATAAAAATTTCTTACCTTTTGGAAATGGAACTCGTGTCTCCTGCATGGTACAACAAAGTATCTCTCCACTACATCATAGACACCGGTTAAGAATCCGTGATAAATGGTATTTATTGTCTCATTTTTATGAGCCCTGTTCTTTTTTTGCTGAAATGGAGACTGACCATCTCCTTGGGCAAGTTTATGTACTTTCCACCATTGCAAATACTTGAAGAGGTGCCACTTAGATTTTATTAAAACCAAATGACTGATACTCGTTGCTTCTCTCTCTATGCTTCAACTTATCTATGTGGGAAAATATCTGCGTCTTATCTGTTGGCCTTGTGGGTTGTTGGAGGGCGCCACCGTGAGGTACATGTACACGTAGTACTTTTTTCCTTTTCCCTTTTTTGTGTCCGTCTTTATGTTTGTCTTACTTTTTTCCCTGCCCTGTATGATCGTTACCTTGTTCATGTGCTTCTCTATACTCCAACTCCAAGTGTTTTACCTTGTACTTTGTACATCTCAACTTTGCAGGTAGTTGGAGGGTGCCACTGGTAGGTAATACTTTTGTACTTTCCTTCCCTCTGATGTTTCTGTCAAGAGAGGTGTTCGCCTCTCATTAAACAGGTAGCGGGTTCGAATCTGGACAGCGGCGGAAGATTTTCTTCTCTAAAATTTCCTCTTTTCACCTCCTTTCTTGCTCTCTAATAATATTCTGTCGTGTGCTTTCGTCTCCTATTTCTGCCCCTACCCCCTCACCTTCTCTGGGCCCTTGACTCTTTCTGCGGCCTTTCTACTGCTTCTATTTGGCTCCTTCCTACTCCTGTCTTTGAGCCAATACCTGGTCTTCTGGTAGGTAAGATCTAACTCCTAGCCTTCTCGGATAAGGGCGAAAAATCTCGGAGGTCCCGTGTGCAAGTTGCGCACATTAAAGATCCCTTGGTTGGCCTACATTGATAAGAGTAAGCTTCGGCTGCCGTCGGGGCCAAATTCGAAATTTTATAGCAACTGAAATTGTTTAGTGTGTCCAGTGCTCTCATATGACCTATGCAGTTGCGAGCGCCGTAAAACATTTACACCCCCCCCCCCCAAGAAAAACAGAAAAAATGTGCATTTTGGCTATGCGGATGCTAAAATATCGTTCTTGCTGTCTTACAGTATTGAACGCTGTAATTTTAAACTGGAAATTGTATAAGTCTAATGTCGTTTTCAACTCTGTGAGGTGTTTAGGAGGCAGGACCTCTGATTTTAACGTGCAATCTCCAACAGGCTCAAGTCAAGTTGGTGGAGGGCCCTGGAAATTTCCCACTGTCAGACGTTCAAGAATACCCCACCCTTTTTTTGGGTCTATTTTCTTCGGTCGTTCGGACCAGGATGACCCTGGTGTATGGTTGGTGGGCACTCTGTTGATGTTTACTCCTTCTTTCCATTGAACATCTATTGTCCTTATATCTCCTCCTAGCACCTCTAATCTTTGGCTCGTATATGACCTACCGGTATCTGTGTTGCAAGTGCAGTAAAATCGTTCGCTGTTTTCAAGCTATTGTAAGAATTTAAAATTCTTAAAATAGCTTGAAAACAGCGAAGGATTTCCCCTCTAGGCACCATTAATCTTCCGCTTTTATATGACCTATTTGTGTTGCAAGTGCCGTAAAATTCTTAATAGAGCTCTAAAAAAAGAAGAACAAAGGATCTGTCCTCTTAGCACCTCTAATCTCCCGCACTCATAATATGACCTATTTATTTTGTGTTGCAAGTGCTGTAAAACTCTTACTTATGCTAAAAAAAAAAAAAAAGGCTATCCCGGCTATAGACTGCTGCAGGTGATATAATTGTAGCTGAGCTAACAGAGCCCTGGACACACTTGCTGATGGGCAAAAACCAGAATTATAGGTGAGGCTTTCAGGAAGGGATATTTTTACTTCTTTTAAATTGAAACGCCAGAAAGAAATGGAGAATATCGTCAACCTACTGCAACCTACTGTTCAATGCTAATGTACTAAGGTTGTTTTTTTTTCCCCTTAACCTGTGGTATTGCTTGCAAATTGACGAGAAATACTGTATTGAAATTCAAATTCTAAATGTTGAAAAGAAAAAAAAAAAATAATATTGGCACATTGCTTAAAAGAATGAAAAATTGTTTTCCCTCTCCTGAAAAATTTTGCTTCCTGACTTCCAAGGCTTAGATTAGTTGTACGTCATGTAGCTAAAAAGCTGGCCAACAATTAGTGCAGCATACTTTGCTGGTGGTTGCAGAGCGCCACTGGTGGG